TTGGGTAGATTTCAATGGTAATGTTTATCACCTCTACTAATTAACATGACGTAAATGTTTATGCTTCCTCCTCAAATATAACTCATTTTTTTAATTTGTTGATTTTTTTTTGTGTGTGTATATCCCAAACAATCTTATTCATCTATATACCCACTTCCCAGATGGCACCTTCCCATAGCCTCCCCGCTCCCCCACTAGAGCCCTTATACTCTGTTATCCCTGCTATTGTCTGCTGTGTTGTTGGCACCCCCAGCCATTCCCCAGTACTTGTCCATCCTGTGAATCTAGTCAGTCTATCTAGAGGTCTTCATTTTAGGAAGGTCAGCTGTTCCTCATCTAGCAGCAATCAGTTGTCAATATTCCCTCAGATAAAATTGGGGTGTGCTGTTCATTTTCCTAGTTTTATGCTGGGTTACTATCTGGGAGTCTCTTGGGCCACCTTGGCCAACAATTCAAAAGAAGGTATCTCCTATCTGGCATTGTTTCTTATTATATAGCCTTTAGTTGTACATATGGACTCTTAAGAAATTATATTGGCCCCCTTAATCTTTGGTTATACTTTCCTTTTGGGTGTTTAAGGCCATACAGTTGGCCCAAATAAACCAATTTATTTTTACTCTTAAGGCCATTTGAGGATCTGTTCCTCAGGGATCACATGGGCTTGGGAGGAGCCCCTGGCTCCTTTCTTTTACCAGTTCCATCTATGTGAGGATAAGTCAAAGGTCCTGCTCAACTATGGCTGGCTTCGCTTGGAAGCATGGAGGAAATGTTTCCTCTGTGTTGACCCTCCTCTTTGTAGACTGGACACTGGTTCAAGTTCATCTAGTGGGGCCTCCATGGCCTCCTTGATCAAGAGGACAAGTGACTCAACACAGTTACAGGATATTTTGAGAGATGCTCATAGTCCCTGGGAACTAGTCGACCTAGGAGGGCAAGGAGCAAAAACTGTCCTTTATGTTCCTCTGACCAAATTAGTGTAGGCCTCAAAGTATGTCTGAAAACATTCAAGAAGGTTAGTTCCACCAGTCTGGTACTTTTAATTACCATGTGCCATGTAGATAAAGCTTGGGCAAAGACCAAACATTCTCAGATAAACCTTGCCTAGACAGATATTATATTCCTTGAGCTAGTTGTATGTATAATTTGTCAGTACTTGTTACAAGGGAGAGACAAAAACCATCTGTGGAGTCCCAGTTACTGTTTGTTTTTTTCAATTTATTATTTTTATTTTTATGAGTATGTGTGTATTGCCTGCATGTATGGAAGTGCACCCATGTCATGCAATGCCCTCAGAGGTCAGGAGAGGGCATCAGATCCCCTAGAACTGGAGTTAGGGACAGTTGTTAGCTGCCATGTGGGTGCTGGGATGTGAACCTGGGCCTTCTGCAAGAACAACCAGCGTTCTTAATTGCTGAGCCATCTCTCCAGCCCCCTTTTTTTGGTATTTTTGAGACAGGGTCTCCCTGTAGCTTCAGCTGACCTGGAACTCTCTATGTAGACCAGGTTGCCCCCCCCCCCCCCGCCGGCCGAGTGCTGGGATTAAAGGCATGCAAGTGCTGGGAGTAAAGGCATGTGCCATCACACCTGGCAGTATTTTTTGTAAATACTTGAAAGTTTCATACATGTGTACAGTGTATTTTGACCATACCCACCCCCTCATTTCCTTATTTCCTCATCCAACTCCCCTCAGATCCTCCTCAGCACATCCTCCTCCCATCTTCATGCCCCTGGCCCCTTTTATTGTTGGGTTTTTTGGGGGGGCTTTTTTTTTTTTTTGGTCTTTTTGAGAGGCTCTCCCTGTAACCCCAGCTGTCCTGGAACTCACTATGTAGACCAGGCTGGCCTTGAACTCACAGAGATCTGCCTGCCTCTGCCTCCAGAGTGCTGGGATTAAAGGTGTGCGGCACCACACCCGGCCGTGCCCCCTTTTAAATAACCCACTGAGTCCAGTTAGTGCTGCCCTTACTGGAATTCTATCTTTGAACTGGGAAGTATTTGCTTTTAATTATATCTAGCAGAATTTATCAGAATAAATGAAGATATAGAAGTCAAAAAAAAAAAAAAAAAAGGTGCAGGTCTGCTGGAACTAGTGAGTTCAAAGACAGCCTAGGGTATGTAGTGAGACCATCTCAAAAAATTAAAAATGCTAATCCTGGACAAGAGATGGCTCAGCAGGTAAAGGCACTTGGTAGAAGGCAAGAACCAGCTCCAAGTTGGTCCTCTGAACGCCACACTCCCACTGTGGCACAAATGCGTGCATATACACAATAAATAAATAAAATAATAAATAAATAAATAATAAATACTTTAAAATATACTGGTTGGGAGACTGGAGAGATGTAAGTGGTTAGGAGCACTTGCTGCTCTTGTAGAGGACCCAGGTTCATTTCACAATACTTACATAATGGTTCACAACAGTCTGTAACTCCAGTTCCAGGAGTTTCAGTGCCCTCTTCTGGCCTCCATATACACTGCATGCATCTGGTACAAATACATATATGCAGACATGACACTCATACATATAAAATAATTTTTTTTCGGTCTTTTTGAGACAGGGTCTCCCTGTAGACCCAGCTGACCTGGAACTCACTATGTAGACTAGACTGGCCTTGAACTCACAGGGAGCTGCCTGCCGTTGCCTCCAGGGTGCTGGGATTAAAGGCATGCACCACCATGCCTGGTAATAAAATAAATCTTTTTAAAAAGAAAATACTGGGGCTGGAGAGATGGCTCAGTGGTTAAGAGCACTGACTGCTCTTGCAGAAGACCTAAATTTGATTCCCAGCACCCACTGGTGGCTAACAACCATCTGTAACTCCAGTTCCAGAGGATCCAATGCCCTCTTCTGACCTCCATGGGCATTGCGTGACACAGGTACGCACATGCAGGCAATACACTCATACACATAAAATAATAAATTTTAAAAATAAAAGAAAAAGAAAATACTGGGAGTGGCTCAGTGGTTAAGTACACTCAAAAAGACCAAAAACAATAAACAAGGTTTGTACAAGATCAAGCCAGTCAACATTCCACCATGTAGGGACAGGACTCATGAGGCTCCACGCCCTAGCAGAGGAGTTATTGGTTATTGGATGACCCCACACCCCTGTGTATATGAGTAGCACTACTTGGACTCGGTTATAAAAAAAACCCCATAAGACCATATTATGGGAGTGGAGAGATGGCTCAGCAATTAAGGGTGTGTACTGCTCTTGCAAAGGACCCAAGTTTTCTTCCTGGAACCAACATAGGTCATCTCACAACTGCTCCAGAGAAGCTAGTGCCACCTTCTGGCCTCCAAGAGTACCCACACACACACACATAACCCCCATACATATATATACATAATTAAAATAAAATTATCTGATATTTAATTTTTTATGTATGAGTGTTCTGTCTGCATGTATGTAAATGCACCCATGTGTGCAATACCTTCAGAGACCAGAAAAAGGTGTCATATCCCCTAGAACTGGGTTATAGAAGGTTGTTAACTGGCAAGTGGGTGCCAGGAACTGAACCCTTGTCCTTTGCAAGAGCAGCCAGTGCTCTTAACAGCTGTCATCTCGCAAGCCCCCAAAATGAAATTATTAAAAGAGAGAGAGAGAGAGAGAGGGAACATAAGGCTGGAAGAGGAAAGTATTGGGGGTTCTGGGGAGAGTAGGAGGGAAGATATGGGGTGAATGTTATCAAGGTACATTGTATATATGTATGAAATTTCTAAAGAATAGATAAAAATATTCTAAAAAAGAGAAAAACATTCTATCAGAGCATTTTCTTTCTCTCTTTTTTTGTTGTTATTTGTTTTATATTGAGACAGGTTCTCACCGATATATCCCTTGTTGTAGGACAGCGTTCTTAAAAAAATCACCAACACCACTTTAAGAAAAATAGCAAGGTAAATTTTAATTTTCGACCGGCCGGGCTGTCTATCTCGGGAGTAGAAGCAGCCCTGGTGATTGTCAGGTCAGAGTTTTTATAGGATTACAGAATTATTATTAAAACAGGACATTTGTGAACCAATCAGGTTTGTACAACATAGCAGTATTTTGATTCTATTAACAACCAATCATTGTACAGATAAGTGATACAGTCATATAACTTGGCACTCAACTTTGTGACATTAAAAACTAGCCAACTGCTTTAGTCATAACAAGTAAAATAAGACAGTCAAGGTAAATAACCTCTAGGTGGTCGTGCAATAACAGAATAACAAGGGTGGTCTTGTGCCCTGTGTCAGGGCGACCCAAGACAGCAAGCAGGTTACAGAAGCGAAAATAAGCTGGTTAGCAAAAATATAATGTCTGGAATTAGCACATTCCGTGATTCATGGCGAGGGCAATTTTCCAAGGCCCAAGGTTGCCCCCCTTTTCCTTCTGGTGGAGCAAAGTTGCTGCTGAAATGGCTCTGAACAAAATGGAGTAACTTAGGCAAGTTTTGCTGAGCCAGTTCATCCCTGGCTGGACTAGAATTGGCTATGTAAACCAGACTGGCTTACCAGAGATCTGCCTACCCCTGCCACTTGAGCACAGGGATTAAAGGCATGCCCCGCCACACCCATTGTAATAAAAACTATTTTTTTTTTGAAACAAGGTCTCACTTTATAGCCCTAGCTGGCCTAGAACTCTCTATGTAGACCAGGATGATCTCAAACTCACAGAGATCCACCTGTCTCTGCCTCCCAAATGCTGGAATTAAAGGCATGCACCACTACACCTGGCAAATTTTTAAAATAATTTTTTTTAATCTTTTTGAGACAGGGTCTCCCTGTAGCCCCAGCTGTCCTGGAACTATGTAGACCAGGCTGGCCTTGAACTCACAGAGATCCACCTGCCTCTGCCTCCCCAGTGCTGGGATTAAAGGCGTGCGCCACCACGCCCTCCCAATTTTATTTTTTTATGTGTATGAATGTTTTGCCTGCATGAACATTTTGCCTGCATGTGTGTGAGTGTACCATGTGCATGCAATGCCCAAGGAGGCCAGAAGATGTAGGATCCCCTGAAACTGGAGTTAAGGACAGTTGTCACTAAGGTGCTGGGAACTGAACCCAATTCCTCTGGAAGAACAGCCAGTGCTCTTAACTGCTGAGCTATCTCTCCAGCCCGGTAATCAAAATATTCTTAAACATCCTAAAACTTATATAGACCCCCTCTCAAAGCTCAGGGAACATGGAAGAAGAGAGGGACAGGAAAAAATGTAAGCTGCAGAATGGGGAGAAGAGCTGTGAAATACCCTCTTCTGGACATGACATTGCAGTTACACTCATGAACTCACAGCAGCTGTGGTTACTTGCATAAGACCTGCATAAGAGAGAGCCTGCCAACATTGCAGTGTGGATCTGAGAGGGGCACATTGAGGCTCCACCCCTGCTGATGAGCTATTGGTAGTTAATGCCTGCTGGAGGAGGGAGAGTAACTTTTCTTCAGGCGTGTAGCCACTAGCAGTTGTCCATGAACCAGTAAGAGCCCTATACCCAAGTACACACAAGCAACCCTAAATAAACTTGATGGATTTTAAAAAATATTTTATTTTTATTTTATGTGTACACGTGTATTGCCTGCATGTATATGAGTGCACCTGTGTCGTGCAATGCCACGGAGGTCAGAAGAGGGCTTTGGATTCCCCTGGAACTGGAGTTAAGGACAGTTTGCAGCCGCCATATGGGTTCTGGGAATCGAACCCCAGTCCTCTGCAAGAGCAGTCAGTGCTCTTAACCACTGAGCCATCTCTCCAGCCCTGGGATGTGCTGGAAAGAAGCGTTCCAGAGGCAGTGGGTGGAGGTTAAGAGAGGGGCATGAAGGATGAACATGAGAAAAATACATAATAACACATGTATGAAACTGTCAAAGAATAATAAAAAAATTAATTACATAAAAGATCACCAGGCTTGGTAGCACACACCCTTGATCACAGCACTCAGGAGGCAGAGGCAAGTAGATCTGTTACTTTGTGGCCAGCCTTGTCTACATAGTGAGTTCCAGGCTAGTCACAATTACATAGTTAGACCCTGTCTCAAACAATAAAAAAAACCCAGAATACTGTGAAATGTAGTGATTTTAAGAATAAAAGAATAAGAAAAGTTGGGGCTGGAGAGATGGTTCAGCAGTTACAAGCACTGGCTGCTCTTGCAGAGGACCCAGGTTCAGTTCCCAGCACCCACATGGCAGCTAACATCATTCTCAAACTCCAGTTCCAGAGGATCTGACGCCTTCTCGGGCATTGCATGGACATGGTGTGCTTACATGGAGGCAAAACACTCATATACATAAAATAAAAATAACTTTTTAAACAATAGAAAAGCTTCCATTACATTCTGTACAACCAGTTACTTTGGAAATTTTTCTCTTATGTGTGTGTGTACCTGACTGTATGTATATATGTGCACACTTGTGCTAGCAGGTGCCTGCAGAGGCCAGAGGGCTTTAGACCCCCTGGAACTGGTGTTATAAGTGGTTGTGGGCCACATGATGTGTGTGCTGGGAAGCGAATCCAGGTCCTCTGCAAGAGCAGCAAGCGCTCTTTGCTGAACCACTTCTCCAGCATGCCTCAATGTTTGTCATTTTAAGGAACCGAAACAAAAAATATTCAAACTGGAGGTCAGAGGACAATTTACGGTCGTCCTGTTTCTTTCCCTCATGTGAGTTCCAGGGATAACACAATTACAGCAGTGAGCCATCTCAGTGGCTCCTTTATTTCTTAGTTAATGGCGTTGTTTCAGCTCATCCAGGTGAAAGCTTTGAAACGCAGGTGTCTTAATCGCGGCTGTGCTTGTCAAGAGCGGAGATTGTTCTCACAGCATCATTTCTAAAATACAGAAGAAACTCAAGCAGCTATTTTTGTCCCAAATACTGGCTTGTAGGCTTGGCCGTGGGATTCCAGGAAAGGCGGGATGTAAATGGCGAGAACCAGAGCCAAAGCGGGAGGACTACAAGTCCCATAATGCACTGGAGGAATCCGTCCCGGAGGGTCGCGGGTCCAAAGCACCCCTACCTCCATCCTCAAACACCGAAGCCAAGATGGCTTCGGGCGGCGCCCAAGTGGGTGTGGTTCCCAGGAAGGCCACGCCCCCAGAACGCTACTCCAATAGGGGCCGCCTTCGTGTCCATAGCGACGGCGGCGGCGGCGGTTGTCCGCTTGCTTAAGGAGGCGCCGCCGCCGCCAGGATCTCAGATCTAGGAGTTAACCCCGAGGGGGAGTGGGCTCCCCCTCGCGACAGCGGGGACACACAGTCCTGTAGAACGAAGAGACGGTCCCCGACGTCCAGCAACGCCTAAGAAAAGCAGCAGCGGGCGAGGGGCAGCCATGAACGACCAGCTGAGTCCAGCCCCGGGCCGCTAGGGGAAGAAGCTCCAGCAGCCCCTCAGCTCTCCTCGAAACCTCGGGTGGGCCGTGTCTGCTGTGGGCGTCCCTTCCTCTTTCAGAGCCCAAACCGGCCACCAGGCGCCTGATCTCAGTGTGTTCACATAGGGGAACTGAATCCTGGCGCAGGGAAAGGGCCGGCCCAGAGAACCTTTATCTTCAGCTGTACTTTAAAGCAAAGAGTCCACCGCCCAAATCTATCAGCTACATCTCTTCCCATTCAAGAACCCAAACGCTGCGGTCATTGCTTCTGCAGCTCTGTACTCCTGCATGCCCTCCAGTTTTACGATCTAGTGTAATCCTGAATGATTGGGACTTTTAGGTAGGGACTCACATCTCACCAGCATCCCATGCTCCCCACCGCCCATTACTTGGAAACATACTATTCCACAGTGAGATTGGTCTGAAGGGGCAACATTTCCTTCTAACACCATAAAGGGCCTTTGGGTGAATTCCCGCAGGACTTCCTGTGCCTGGAAGGAGGTCTGACAAATATTTCATTCTCATCCACACCCCGCCCCTTAGAATCTAAGAGGATGGAAGCCAGTACCTGTAAGATCAGTGAATCTGAGGAAGACTATGTTGAGGAAGAGGAATCTGAGGAGGAGGGTGTTAAAGAGAAAGCTACCACGCCTAACTCTTCCCAGGCACTTGCAAAGGCTGACTATAAAGAATTGGACAATGAGGTTCCCTTATCTGTTGTAGCCAAGAAAATTCCAAAGAAAATCGCAACTGCAACAGATACAGATGATTTAGAACTTGGGCGGAGAAAGAGAAAGCGGAAACGCAGGTAACATTTCCCTAGACCCCTTCATCCCCTTGGCCTCACATCAGCATTGGGGTGGAAGGACAGACTGTGATCTAAGGGCTTCATTTTAGCCTTTGGAAGAGGAGAACCAGGTGGGGGTGCTGCATGCGTGGAATCTCAGCACTAGGGAGGGTGAGACTGTTGAAGGCCAGCCTGGACTATAGTATGAGACCCTGAGTCAAGAAACAAAAACAATGGGCTGAGGAAATGGCGCAGTGGGGAAGAGTACTTGCTGTACAAGCATGAGGACCTGAGTTTGAATCCCCTGAGCCCACATTAAAAAAGGGGGTGGGGGGGTCTGGAGAGATGGGAGCCCTGACTGCTCTTACAGAAGACCAGGGTTTGATTCCCAGCACCCACATGGCAGCTATAAACCCTTAACTCCAGTTCCAGGGGAATCCAATTACCTCTTCTGACCTCCATGGCATTGCATAGCACGGTGTACTCACATACATGCAAGCAATACACTCATACACATAAAATAAAAATAATTTTTTAAAAAAAGAGGAAAGGAAGCTGGACATGGTGGCGCATGCCTTTAATCCCAGCACTTGGGAGGCAGAGGCAGGTGGATCTCTGTAAGTTCAAGGCCAGCCTGGTCTACGTAGTGAGTTCCAGGACAGCTGGATCTCAAAAAGACCAAAGAAAATGAAAGGAAAGGCTGGAGCAGTGTTAACTTTTGGTGCAACAGAAACAAAGTTCAGAGCCATTTGGGTCAGCTCAGCTTTGGATTACAGCATGTTGGTATGATCTTTCTTTTAAGATGCTTCTAGAGAAAATGAATTTCTATTATAAATTTGTTGAGTATCTCTTCACCTGGGTTCCTGGCAGCCCGGGGTCTATCTTTCCTTCCTACTCTGCCTGATTTTTGTTCTTCCTCCATTCTAGACCCCTGGCCATCAACCTGACCAACTGCAAGTATGAGAGTGGTAAGCACTGGACTCATCACACAGCAGTATGCACAAAGACAGCTATTGTTCTTACTCCTAGGACAGAGCTCCAGACAGGTTTCTAGTCCTTGGATCCTACCCAGATTGCCTGGTATCTACACTGAGGTTCCTGGGTGTCCCAGGCTTAGCCACTGGCAGCTGAGACACTGCTATTGCATTTAGCCTCAGTGTTGTAGAAAGTATCTCCATAGTTAGCTGGCAAGAAAAAAAAGGGGGTAGCTGAAGATGTAGCTCAGTTGGTAGAGTGCTTGCCTGGCATGCATAAAGCCCTGGGTACAATACTCCGTATTGACTGCATAAAACTGGTCGTGGGCCATCACTCATGTCTGTAATCCCAGCACTTCAGAGATGGAGTCAGGAGATCAGAGGTTCAAGGTTATTCTTGGCTACTTAGCCAGTTTGAGTTCAACCTGGGATACTTGAGATCCTGTCTCGAAAAACAAAATGCTAAAAGTCACCACTGCCCCACCCCTCCCATATTTTAGCAGAGTTAAAACAGTATAAAAACACTGTTGTTGGGAATATAGCTCAGTAGTAGAGCATTCGCCTAACATGCAAAAAGTCCTAGGTAGGTTTGATCTCCAGTACCACAAAAACAAAACCACAGTTGTTTTGTTTTTTCCAAGAAGCTTTCAGGGTAGTTTAGCAATTAAAAATAATATCCGGCCGGGCATGGTGGTGCATGCCTTTAATCCCAGCACTCTGAGGCAGAGGCAGGTGGATCTCTGTGAGTTCAAGGTCAGCCTGGTCTACATAGTGAGTTCCAGGACAGCTGGGGCTACAGGGAGACCCTGTCTCAAAAAGATAAAAAAAATTTCCCTGCTAGGTGAGGATTTTTGTGTTTCTCCTCTTCACTGACATCTGTACAAAGGACCACTCAGGTATTAGGTACCAGGGTGATTCCCACCTAGGGTCAGCTGTATAGGCCAGAAACAGCCCTGACCAAGATAAGCAGATGGGCCTGGTACTTGTTTTCTCCACCAGCCTCGTGAACTTGGAATTGCCACCTGGTAACTAAGGTGCTTAGGTCAAAACCACCTCTCTCTTTGTCCTAGTTTTTTTCTTCATTGCTGTGACAAAACACTCTGACCACTACCAACTTGGGGAGGAAAGAGTTTACTCAGCTTACATCTCCCAGGTTGTAGTTCATCAGGGAGCCCAAGGTAGGAACTCAGGGCGGGAACCTGGAAGCAGGAGCTAGAGCACAGGCCATGGAGGAACGCTGCTTACTGGCTTGCTCCCTTGGCCCCTGCTCAGCCTGCTTTCTTATGCAACACAGGCCCACCTGCCCAGGGGTGGCACCACCCACAGTGGGCTGGGCCCTCCCACATCACTCATCAAGAAGATGCCCTTCAGACATGGCCATAGGCCAGTCCAATAGAGGCAATTCCCTGATTGAGGCTCCCTCAACCCAGGTGTGTCAAGTTGACACTAAAGCTATCCAGCACACTCTTCAATCTGCTTTCTCTCTGGTCAGGTCTGTTCTTTCTCTGACCTGCTAGAATTCCAGGGCTCATAGCTGCCCAGGCTGGCAGCACTCCCTGTCTCTACAGTGCGCCGGGCAGCCCAAATGTGTGGCCTGAAGAAAGTGGGGGAGGATGAAGAGTGGACTGTGTACTGGACAGACTGCTCTGTCTCACTGGAACGAATCATGGACATGAAGAGGTTTCAGGTACCAACATCCTGGCCCAGCATTCAGAATGGCCATTCCTACCCCTTCTGTCCTGGCACTGGAGACTGCTCCTTTCTGTGCTTATAGCTTGTGTAGACAGAGAGTACCATCCTCAGGTCTTCTCCAATAAAAAAATTCTCCTCTTGGCTCTCTGAAGCTTCTGTTTTACAAGTGCTGGGTGGGCATACCCCTATTACATTATTTGTTTTGCCTGTGGCATCTGTGACTAGCCTGCCTCTTGGAGAGCAAGTGAGCCTATCTCAGGGAGAGGACTAGGAGGCTGCTTCAGAGCTAATAGTAGAGGGCTAGGGATGTAGCTCACCCGTAAATACTCAGGAGCCCTGAGTTCAATTCCCAGCATTTAAAAAAAAGAGGCAAGCCAGGCATGGTA